TAATGAAAACAAATGGAAGGTTCTCAAAATAGATTTTAAGGCGTTTAAGTGGTCAGAGTGAATTGATATAAAAAAAAACAATTGCTTTACAAAAGTAACAAATGAGACAATTTTATAATTGTTATTGTTTAGATTTAATATTGTGTAAATGATGTTTATTATTATCGTTGATGTAAATCATCGTAAAAGATGAAACTTAATTAAATCTCAGGGTCTGCTAAAATGTTTACAGTTACTGTGGACTACATTTAGTAATTACGTTTTACATCACAATCCTTAATATAACAAATATCTGCTATCGAAATTAATGGACTATAGACATAATTAATTTAATATATGCGCAACTATTATTATAGTATCGGAAAATAGAAGCTTTCAAGAATTCGTTGTGCTGAAACAATACGTTGTTGATTCAGCTTCGTGATTGTGTTTATTTTTCGCTTGATTAAAACATTGCACAGTTGTATATAAAACGGTTCCAAACAAAAGGTATTTACATTATAGAAAAAAAGGCAACAATACGTTTAAATGAGGCAATTAATGATATGATATAAAATTACGATACATAAAAATACTTAAGTCGGTTTATTTGCTCGCAAATGAGGATTTAGAAGGTTTTTTGTGATGTTAATATATTCATTGTTATAATAGTAGTTAAGAAAAGTAAACAACAATAGACATACTAATTAATAACGAATATAAGATATTTAAAATTCATAGTAAAAAAAACACATGAGATATTACCCTTATATACCCTTATATAATTATTTCAAAAAGTTTTTCTAATATTTGAAAAAAGAACCTTAAATAACCCTTATCTCTCCATTACTGATTTAGGGTTACATTGTTTAAATATAGACAACCTAAATTTCTAGAATAATTACTAGCCTTTATACTTTATAAGTACATACCAAATACAAATGACTGTACAAGTACATACAAATGACTTTTTTTATTATTTTTACTGAAGATATCATTACATACTCTAAATATATGTACAGTAAATATTTTTTAATACATGTAGCTAAAAATTTTATTTTAAGGGACAGTATTATAAATGTGAAAATAATTATCTAAACTTCTCGTAATGAGATTTGTGAACGCTTTCGCGTTAACGTTAGACTTAGATTTATATGTATGAACTAAGATTATTTTTCGCTTTAATATAAGTAAGTTATAATCGAAAAAAAAATTGAAAGCTGTTTCGAATTACATCTTGGAACAAGTTGTATTTTCAGAGTTTTTCAATACATAAGTCATATTCCTGTGGAATTTCTACTCCATTCAATAAGCATGGGGGTTTCCTAATGTATATCTAGAAATATTAAATAGGCGACCTTATGACATTGCTAATATGAAATGATAATAGTCACAAAAGTGTTTAAACACTAATTAAAAAAGAAAAGAAAGACCGAATATGGGGGACCGAATACCTTCTCACATAAAAATTAGGTTTCATGTTAAATTTAATAAAGCTAATTTTAATTTAACATTTAACCTACTTTTTATGAGAGATGGCAGGCGAGCTGGTGGTTCACGTGACGTAAAGTAATAACCGCCGCTCATGGACATTTGCAATACCTGTGGGGTTGCAAATGCGTTGCCTCCTTTTAATAAAGTCGGCTCTGGATACCTAACTAACCACCACTAAACGCAGAAGAGTAACACTTCCACCTCACGACGGTCTTTTGTGAGGTCGTGATATTTTGCCGGGCATACCTGCCCAATTCTGCAACAGGGCAGGCTGTTGCGTGGTCCTACCGCATTTGTATACATATTTATTCTGTTCTATAAATGTGAAATTATATCAACGTGAATTAATAACTGAACGTGAATTAATGACTCCTTCAGATGACTGTCATCATGGTAAAAGGATAACCATTTTCCTATAATCATTCACATCTAGCATTATATCTATCTTATGTACCTTATTGTTCACCCTTACGCATATCGCCTATCTTAAAAGTAATTCTTTATTTTGATCTTATTAAAGTTGTCATTACGAATTAATATGAGAAATCCGCTTTTACATAAAGCATTTATAACGCCCCAAGTGAAAGAACAAATAGAAGCCAAGAATAATTCCACATTATTACCTTCAACACCTTCATTTCATTAGGCCTCATTACATATTAAGGCCCTTCTAAGCCAGCGGACACGAAATGAAAATTCATTTTGCAACAACCACTCTACGAATGATATACGTGGGCTGCTGAGACAAAAGCACCGAAAAACGCGTTATTCCGTAAGTGAACTTGTGAATACAGACCTTGTTTTATGTTTTAAACGCAAATGATTTTAAAATGGCTACACAGTTTTTGAAGTGAAAACTTCTTTAGGCGCGCACATTTTGGGTGAACAAAAATCATGGAACTTGCGTCATCGTCACCGAACGCTTTTTATTTAATTACTGTTATTATACTCTATTATTTCGCTATGATTTTAAGATCACCTATATGATATTATGATAAAAGAAAAAGTCATAGCTTTTTCTGGTTTTTAGTACTGAACTTGTCCTAACTAGTTTATCTTTACTATCCATTTTCCTACAAAATAATTACAATGCACTTTGTTATTATCAGTGATAGTCGAACGCTAGTGGTTGGCAACGTGCTATCGTAAGTTCTTTTTTTTTTACGGGAAAAGATTTCGAGCGAGCTGCAATTTACCTGATGTTAAGTGAATACCGCCGTTCATGGACATCTAGAACCCAAAGGGCTTATAGATGAGTCGAAAACCCTTAAAAACGTGTAAACTTGTGTATGTAGTCTGTACACTTGTGTATTAGTCTGTACACTTAAGTGTTTTTAAAATGGCATAAAATCGACAGCAGCCAGGGAACATGTAAGCACTGTGCATGTTGACATATGCTTAGTAATGTTATATATTTATTTTACTAGGATCAGACAAAACGCGTAAGTTTAACACTTACACTTCGCGCCGGTCTCCTGTGGTAGTTGATAGTACCCGGGACGCGCCTGCCCATTCGTGCAATATCAGAAGCTGTTACGTGTCCTACACTAATTTGCAATTGCGAATTTATTAGGTACCTCTTTTACGATCTCCCCTCTTCTAGATAGGTTACGAGACTCTGTTCTCCATCTGATCCCTTGGATCGTTTGTGTCCCCCCATGCCAAATTAAAATAGTCGCAGACAAAATGGGCGTATTCGTGTCGTCTGCTACGTTGTTCTCCTCAAGCTACGTGTCGTCTACCAGCGGACTTCATCCGACGAAACTGCCAAAGCGCCGTGCTAAAAGACTACACAAACACCAAATTCTTGACGTCGCGGGGTCTCGCTTTCACCCCAAAACTATTGAACCGATAAAAATTAAATTTGGTACACAGATAGTCTAGAGCCTGAGAAAGGACATAGGCTATTTTTTAAATTGGAAAAAAAGTTTTGTAAAGGTTTGAAAGATATTTATTTAAGGGCTTCAACGCGAGCGAAGCGGGCGAAAAGGTAGTGTTGTATAAATTAAGATTGGTTAAAATGGACATTATAAGCTGTCTATATTTATCCCCTTAAAACATATATATATATATTTGCTATTAATATAAGTTACTTAAACTACTATTAAATTAAAGTTACCGCCAATGTTCATTGACTGAATATCGAATAATATGAAGTGTAACTGCGTGGCATCATTAAAACATCGGTTTTTAATTAAGCGTTCCCGTTAAAGCAAAGTGTCCAATTTTGTTTTATTTTCAGTGTCATTAAGGGTCAACGATGTAGTTTTAAACGACAAATATATTTAAAACGTTTATTGTTCGTTTAAACGCGCTCGTAAAATTTATCGCCGGCCGGCCTATTAGTTTTTACCATGAGAAAATCAAGCTTTTATTGAGTTACAATGAAAACACTTTACCTGCTGTTTTTACTAGTTTAATTAGTAAGTCCTTGGATTTTACCTATGAGTAAATGAAAATAAATTGCGCAATCTAAAACGCTCCCAAAAGTCGGAAGGTGGGTAAATGTCTAATAACTTTCCGACGTAAAAAGCGGTAGATCTCTCCGACAACAAAAACCTTTTATCGGCGCTCATCCGATGCTTTTCATGCGGAAGAAATGGATCCGAACAGAAAGTGATTTCGTGAATCGAGTTCGACTTGAGCCGTTCGTCCAAATACGCGTAGAGGTTACTATGAACTTCAAACTACAAACAGCTCTGACCTTCAAGCGCGTCAACGCACTTTGAATTCGACTCAACTCCCATCAGCCACCGGTTTCCTCCGGCTAGAATGACGTCACAAAAATCTCTCCCTTTCTGTGACCCTCGCCACCGTGGATATGACCTCGCAATACATAAGCGTAACTTATCAATCATACTTTGTTTCTCCGCCTCCCAAATAATCAATCCTTTTTTCAACATAATTATATTCTCGTATAAAGATAAAAAGCGATAAAATATTAATATCATGAGGGAAACACTTACAATCCATAAAATGTGATAGTGTAATTATTTTTTCTTCTAATAAAGACGATGCCGTTTCACAGATCATCTCGTCAATCCGAACTCGCTAACACCGAGGAATATTTATTTTGCCGCCATACAATATTCTGCAGACGCATGCGTGATCACGAAACGACCCGCAGTAAAACGGCTGGTCACGTGACTCGACGCGGCATTCGCTCGGCGCACTTCGGCAGTCGTCGGCGGACCTGCCTGGTGAGAGTACGTCCGCGCGATTCGCTTCTCGGCGCCCATAAATGTCAAATTAAACGATTTCGTCAAAAAAAAACATGACATGTGCTCCGCGCTGACGTAAACATACGATGCGAATTTGCATCACGCCGATCGGTGGTGTGTACATTCCGTATTAGCCGCGTTTAGTGCCTCATTTTTGTGTAGCGAATTTTATAGCCCCGACTCATGTTAGTGTTTTCGCCGCTCCAGAGAACAATCCTGTTGTCGAGCCGTCTTTATGTTCGCGACGTTTGTTAGTAATGCTTTTTTGTGGTGTGCTATTGATGAGGGTTCCGTAAGTGCTTAACGATGGACCGCGTGAGTGGCGTGTGTAGATTCGGAGGAGTTGTGTCCGCGGTGAGAACGCGCACGGGGCGGAGTAGGCGACGTCTTGCTGGACCAGGCCAGGCGGCCGAAGAAATTCCAGAGGGGCCGCGTCGCGGGCTCGGCGCGATCCTGGTACTGGCTTGCGTGATCGTCTACCACAATAGCCTGTACTGCGGATTCGTATTCGACGATATCAGTGCCATAAAAGAGAACAGAGACCTGAGACCGCAGACGCCGATCTCGAACATTTTCCTGAATGACTTCTGGGGAACTCCTATTCATAAGGTAAGCTATTGTGTAAAGACTGAAATTAACGAAAAAAGGGGAATTCTTTACATTTGTACTTACCATTTTTCGACCTAGCAAAAATTTTACCAAAAATTTTGGTAAATTAACAAATTTAATTATGTAATTACTGCAGTCAATAGTTAAATAACATACATTAGATTTAGATACGTCCATTTCCTGAAGTTTATGTCAAGTAGGTGCTAAGTACTGGCCTAATTGTTAGTTCATTTCATATTACATTATTTATTCGTACTTACATTAATGTACTCGTATTTAATCAAAGCATTTTATTGTCTTGATAATAATTAATACAGACAATAAAAATTATGTTTCATTCATACAGATAAAAAAACTGTACGTTAAATTTTAATATTCCTATAGAATAATTTAATAAGATAAAGCTGTAGGAAATAAAATAAACAGACTGACCAACTATGTAAAATTGATTTCATTGGAGATTTTTCCCCAACGTTATAATTCAACGGTATAATTTTATATTCAAATGTAATGGAAAGATTTTTAAATACATATAAACACATAAAAAAACATGAATAAATATATCTGGTTTTTTATTTCAAGTTTCTGTATTCGTTTATATTAACAAAACTATGATACATATCGTAGTTTGCTTTCATCATGCTCCACTTTAAGATATTTCTTCTCTGGCTAAGAATTTAAGACAATCTTAAATAGAAAACGACTAGTTTAAATAAAATCTAAAAAATACATTCTCATAAAATGATTCAAAATGTTCAAGACATGAAACCACGTAAAGCCATGTGAAGTAAGTAAAAATTATTGCGCATTAAGAAATGTTAGCATTCACATTTTTATTCAGCCAGTATGCTACATTTCCGCGCGTTATTACAGCTATCAACGAAATAGCTTTCTATAAAAAGCTAAATTTACATAATATTACGTGCATTCATAACTTTGCGTCACTGTGCGCTTATAGCTGTTTAGAGACGAAATTCAGCTACGCATTACCCCTGTGCTCTGCTATAAATCAAACATTTACACGGCCGCAGGTAAAACAGGAAATTTATGGTCGCAATCATCGGTAATGTTACACTCAGATGCATTATTCGGCTTTACATAAATGTGCTATGTCAAAGAATACTTAGAAGAATGCAATGCTATGCTATGTTATACCGAAAAAGTTGGTTCGTGTCATCCATAGCTTTGTACAGCAGCAATATGTTACCTATACATATCATTATCATATATTTTATGAAAGTAACCTAAACTCTTCAATTTTTTTTATTTGGTGGCATAGTTTTAGTCGAATGTTATATAAACTTTGGGCAAAATCTTTTGGACCTCTAGTTAATCCAGCAAAGTCCCGAGCGGTTATTTTTGGCAGCACGTATATGCTCAATCTCATTAACGCCATTAACTTGCCAACAGTATACTACGATGGTGTTAGTATTCAATACTCTTCGTGTGCTAAAAACCTTGGCATCTTATTTAATAGCAAGCTATCCTGAACCAATCACATCAATGAAGTAAGCAGGTTACATTAGCAGATACATTACTCGCTTCATTCTCTCAGGCGTCTCCAAAAGTTCTTGCCGTTCAAAACGAAAATTACACTAGCCCAGTAACTTCTTCTACCTCTTCTTGATTACGCGGACGCATGCTACTTGGATGCTGCGTAGCTGCTGCTAAATAAATTGGAACGTTTACAAAATATGTGTATACGCTTCATTTTCGGGCTGCGTAAATACGATCACATTTCTAGCTTCCGATCCCAGTTGAAATGGTTACCTATACGTTATCGTCGTGATTTGCATGTGGTATCCACACTTTACTCCATTCTCAATAATCCTGCGGCTTCTCAGTACCTCCGAGAGCGTTTTGAGTACATGGTGCCGCGTGGTCAACCCTGTCGTGAGATCAGCTCCCTCCTTTAAAAATTACTCTCGCACGCGTCTTCCTGTTTTGGCGGCTCTTTTACATTGCACGCGGTGCGTCTTTGGAATCTATTACCTCACAATGTCGGTGCCAGTCCCTCATCGGATGTCTTCAAGAATAGAGCTAAGGAATTCTATTTATCCGCATAACGTATTTTTCTTCGTGTATATATATTTCTTGTTATTATCTTCTATCTTTATTTACTATATGTTATATGTATGTTACGTATAATTTATATTTACTTTAAGATATATTTATGTATATACATATTAATGTTTATATTTATTTAGGGTATGTTATAGGAATATCTGGGTGCACTGAACACATTTCCAGCTACCTTCAATCACCTTTTTTTTTGTTTTATTTTCTTACCAGGTTAGCTGGTAGAGAACTCATATATTGAGTTAAGCTTACCTTTTCTACATTATTTTCATTTTCATTATTTTTTTGTATCTTGTGTTTTGTGTACAATAAATATATAAATAAATAAAATAAAAACTTTAAATAGTGATTCGTTGTTTCAAAACGTCAAGTATATCGCGCTGAAGCAGCAGAAAACCATTTGCATTCATTTATTTACGCGATGCTCGTGTTGCGCTTTTATAAATTGTTTATATTTCAATCTACAATATTTATTTATTTTTTGTAAATTAAGTACTTTTTGTACTTAATTCATTAGAGAAATTATTTATAAATAGCAAGCTTTATACTTACCTCGGTTTCCTCACCGAATTTGGAATTTGCATGTTTTAATGTTAAATTTGTCATAAAGACACACGGAAGAAATGTGATAGTGCCATGCAGCGGTCTTGCTGTTGTACAAATCAGCAAGTTCTTCCGCGGATTACTATGACCTCTTTAGTAAGTAAGGACGTATTCGGGGTCCACATTATTGGAACGTGGCAACGCATCTAAATACCTATGAATGTTGCAAATTTCCATGGGCGGCGGTTCATCTCATCAGGTAACCCGCCAACTCGCTTACCACCTTCTCACATAAAAGGAAAAAAAATAATGTGCTGGTCAAGAATGCGTTCATCCTGTGCCGAAGTTGTAAGTGGTTTTGGCTAAAATACTAAATTGCCTTCAATCATTTATTATGGTCTGTTCTAGTTCAAAATGCCACAGAAATATATACAGCGTGTCGTTACCATCGCGACAATAAATGAACACACATATAGGGGATAACTTTTTAAAGTTGTATTAAACATTTAAATTCTTTAAACATTAATATTTACAGAGTTATTAAATTTTCCAAAACAAAGAACTTTAGAACAGCCTTACCTATAAAAGCGTAACGTAAAGTTCATTTGTAAAGGTCACAAAGCATATGAATGGGTTAAATGAATTTAAGAGACAAAACATACTGTTAGAAAGAGAGGCTTGTAATACGACGCTGTGGCGCGAGTTGTATAGGATGTTACAAATTTTGTTTCTTTTTTACTTAATTAGTTTGTTTGAAAAATATTTTTTTTTAATTATGGATTTTGTTTAACGTTAACATTTTTTTATGATTATTGGCAAGTAGCGTTAGACATGTGTTCATTTATTGTCGCGATGGTAACGACACGCTGTATAGATACTCGTAAAGACATATCTATCCTTTAAATGTTACCTTTCAGAAGTGCAATCTTATATTTATATAAAAATAATGAACATTATCTACACTGCAAGTTGAGTTTAGGCCATCCTGCGGCTACGTAAACCAGTTTCCGGATGAGCTCGCTTTCAAACGACAAGTAAATGTATTATAATTTTGCAGACATATACAACACAAAGGTTATATTTACGATACTATGTTATTTATTTATTTATTATTTTTATTTATTTTATTTACGTTATTTATTACCTTATTACATCAGCTATTTGCCAGTGAAAGTCCCGTCCAAATCGGTCCAGCCGTTTCAGAGATTAGCCGGAACAAACAGACAGACAGACAGACAAAAATTGTAAAAAATGTTATTTTGGTATATGTACCATGTATACATCCATAATATGCATTTAGTAAAAAGCGGTTATTTTAATATTACAAACATACACTCCAATTTTATTTATCTGTATAGATAGATGAAGCGAGTATCTGATCATGTATCTCTTCATGTATCTCTACTATAACAAAACCGAAATGATTTGCGCCGTGAAGAGAGGCTAGAGAGGTTTAACTAGACAATTTATTGTAGTAACTCTGAAATTAAATTTTGATACAAAAATCTAAAACGGATATGCGTCCTAGTTATTCAATGTTTTGTTAATATGTTATTTTACAAACGTTTCATCAATATTTCATGATGTCTATAGTGTCTAATGCTAGTCATGAACATGTTAAATTTTTTACGGTTAATATTCTAAATTTTATATTAAGTTCTCTAGTCCTAACTAATCTTTTGCACTTCTGATGGTTTGCTTTAATCATTAACTTTTCGTATATTTTTCTACAAATTTTAATTTATAATTTTTTATGTTATTAATAATTGCCTTTAACATCACACACATAAGGTAAAAGCTAATGTTAATAAAATAAAAATGTGAAAATACTTAGTAACATTAATCGTAAGAAAAATTCACTTATTATGATGTTTCATAGTTAATCAAAACTCAAACATATATGTTGTTCAGCTATGTCGAATATTATCACTGAATTTGGAACCGACTTTCTATAGATTCTCTTTATAGACGTATGTATATGGATGAAACATATAATGTTTGAATAATCTAGGAATCGTTATGGCAAGGTGATGCAGTTTCATCCCATTCATACAATAGTTTCTACTATTGTATGAATGGGATGTCGCGGTAGGGTAGTACCACATCCTGACCAGCTTAAAGTAGAACTATAGAACGATTGGCAACGCAAATAAAATTTCAACAGTCTACCCGTCAAGTGAACATACAGTTCGTTCGTCATCTTCTGTTACTAAAAAGAATCTCCAACTCGTGATAAGAATTTTTTTTATTGCAAAACTGGCCAGCACTTGCCTCAGTTCACTCTTGCCTTGAAGACGCCTACGTTGTAATCGGACGTCTCTTAAACACGGATACCCGCGCTAAGCCGGGAAGAGAAAATTAGTATTCAATAAAAAGTTTTATCGGGGTTCACCGCGATGGTCCAGACAGACTACTTAAAATTCATAAAAGCTCTTTTGCGAACTTGCGGTGTTCAAAACAACAAAAAATCCTAAAAAGCGTTTAGTTAGTTGAATTGCTCCATTTCACGTGTCGGCTTTGCCAAAGGTGCGATTAAGGATTCATTTTGCACTACGTTAAAACTGACATTTTGATGAGTTATAGTGATCCCTTGCATTTAGAAAGACTCTTTGGAAACGTTATTCATCCTTTGCGACCAACGTTTGATAGATTTATGTTTAGTTTTTATACGCGGTATTTCGTAAAGGCATTATTATTGAGGCTCAAGAGAAAAATAACTAAAAATTTTATCCCCTGTGCCAGTACTCTTTGTTTGTGAAAAAGACATTAAATGCAATTGCAATTGTTAACTTGGAAATATAGGTAGATGTCAAATTTTCTTTGGTTGCCATGTTAATGGAGTTGGTCGCTTTGCAACTAACTTCATCGTGTCGCTTTTTGGGATAGTAATTGTAAAAATTTTAATCTCATTATTTTTTTTTATTTACCTATATTGTTTTAGAATTAAGTATTTTATTATTAGGTATTTTTTTTAAAGCACAAGTAATTGAAAACCACCAGGAATATCAGCAGCCCCTATATCTGGCCTTTATCGACTATGCAAAAGCCTTCGACTCTATCTCACACAACAGCCTTTGGCAAGCGTTAGAAAAACAAAATGTTCCAGAAACCTACATAAACATCCTCAAAGACATCTACAACAAAAGCGTAAGCAGAGTAAAGCTCGATAGGCTTGGGCCAATAATCAAAATATGCAGAGGCGTGAAACAGGGAGACCCACTATCTCCTACAATTTTTATATCTGTCTTACAGTATACAGCGTG